GTCAGGTACATGATTGACCTCTTTGTATTGTTGTAACTGCCCTTTTCATATCATATTAGTGTGACTTTATTGCCGTTGTGCATCATGTTTATGGGACATTCTAAAATTTGTAGGCATTTGCTGAGTATTCCCCTTCTCCCGTTCATCAGTGGGGGCTGTTCTTCTCTACTCTTCTGTTCTTGCACTTTGTTGAACAAGGAGTCCTTGTACTATTATTTTAATTTTGAGTAAAAAAAAGACATTAAATTTATGTCTTCCACAACCTGTGTAAGAGTGCTAGCCACAGAATAGTAAAGTGAGGTCACTTGCTGCTTTCGCTCTGTTTTTGTTTTCCGTAGCCAGAATGCTAGACCACCATTTGTACATCTGCTTCTCCTGTACAGAAAGTATTTTTTTGCAAGTAAATTAAAGGATTTTCTTTTCTTGGTCTGGTTTTAATAGGCATAGTAACTTTCTGGAATTTTCTAAGTAGAGTTTTGAGGAGTATGACTGTTATTTTCTTGCTTACCCTCATAAGTCCTTGTTATGGTCCTTTGTGCTGTTGTTTTGACATGAATGGAAAGCTATGTCTTAGTACAGCTTCCTGTATATTGTATTCTTTTTCCTTTGTGCTCTAAATCTTCCCTATGGTTTTAGTTATATGCACAACCAAAATGTTTTTTGAAAAGCTAAAGGTCCTTATTTATGTCAGTGCTAGCTTTGAAGAGCTTTTGCAAGTTTCAAAAAAGAGCCTATTTGGAAATCATTTTCTCCTTAGTTTCTTTTGTGTTTCTCCAGTTGTCACTTGCTATGTAAGTGTGTGTGAACTGTAGGGAGGGAGCGCTCCTTTCTTGCTGTACCTAAAGCTGTGCAGATGAGCGGCTGTTCCTTCTCATCACAAATAGTTTCTAGTCTAATTTGCAGATCTCAACCCTGAGTAGTGAAGGAGCATGTAGGTGTGATTGGGCAAAGGATATTTTCATCATCCCGAAGAGACGATACAAATGCTAAGTGTTGGGTGAAAGGTTTGACTGTGTTGTCTCATGAAGGAGTAGGTTACAGTTAGGAAGGTGTCTGGTAAGGAGAAAGGAAAGGAAAAGTCCATCCATTAAATGATTTGCATCTGTATCACTTCCAGTAGGTTTTAAAAAAAGAAAGGGTGAGCAGTCTTGAATGTATATTTCCCAGTCTCTGTAAGATGTGTGTCTCATTATGACAAGACAGATTTATTTTTGTAAGGTCTTCAAGAAAGGAAATTTTAATGGAAGTATTTACTGTTATCAGTGTTCTCTGGAGACAAATTCACATGAGTTTTGTGCCTATTCTAATGCTGAGCCCTTGCTGTTTGGTGGTGAATGATGCTTCAGGGAATCCTGATCCTGTCCTGCTATTGACCTACTAAAGACCTCAATTTGAGAAGCTTTGTGCAATATTCTTGCTAGAAAAGCATTTTTATTGAGCATCTCAGGAGGTGGTATTTGCTCTGTTATGCCAATTACTTACAGAGACACTGGACATCTCTTGAGGAAAAGAATTCTACTTATTCTAATAATAAATTTTGAGCTCCTTTCTGGAGAGGTGTTTAGCATTGTTAAATGAGAAAGACAATGAAAGAGGACAACTGTGGAACAAATGGTACCGAAATTGTCAAATTAAAATAGTCTTTCCCCAGAGTGAAAAGTTTAGAATGATGATATTCAGTAATTCTTAGGTACTATTAAGCTGTAAGAAAGAGGATTTCTTTTTGTTGAGTTGCAGAATCACAAAGTAATTTAGGTTGGAAGGGATCTGGAGAAATTACCTAGTGCCACCTCATTGTTTAAAGCAGGACTAACTTCAGCATTTGACCGGGTTGCTCAGGACCTTACCTGCTGGATTTTGAGCGTCTCCAATGATAGAGGTCCCACAGCCTCTCTGGGCACCTTTCACTGTTTGAGTACTGTAAACATTTTTTTTCCCTTCAGCTTGTACTTGTTGCCTTTTGTACTTTCTCTGACCATCTCTGAAAATAGCCTGCTGTTTCCTTCCCCGAGGTAGGATTTTACCTGCCATTTAAGGGGAAAATGACCAGCATGGAGCAGTTCTCAACTTTAGTATTGGATTACTACTGGCAGCTCTATGTTGTGGCAATTAATCCAGCTGAACTGGCCAATTTTAATGAGAACTTCTTGAACTCCCAGTTTGATGGAAAATAAAAACTTGGATGGAATAAGAGTTCTTCTCCACAACTGAATAGTACTTCTTGCATTCTTGCAAAATAGAAGGGAAGACAAAGCTGAGAACACTTTAAGCCAGCCTTTTCGTTGTACGTTACTGTATTATGTCTCTGAGTTTTAGAGTGAATTGGCTGGCAAAATGGAAGCTAGTCTTGCCTCTAGCTAACTCTAAGGCTATGGGTACAAGAAGAAAAGTAAAATTCTTGTTTAGTACCTGGAAAACAACTTCTAGGTCTGTGATGAGCTACCTTTGAATACTCTTCTCTCCATATCTGGAAAAAAAGGGATGCAAAGTATGTAAGTTTCTGCATAAAGAAGAAGCTACAATAAAGAATGAAAGAATTATGTCATAATAAAGAAGAAAGCATTCAACAGCCTACAGATGAAGAGCACTGTACTTCACGAGGCTGTTGTAAGAAGTCAGTGAGTAACTGGTTTGCAACCAATGCACCTGGGACTAGAAAGTGAATTTGAGACAAATAGTAGGAAAAATGTTAGGGTATTGAAGGGGATGCATTTGCTTGTAGAGACTGTCCACCCCAGATTTGTCAAGAATAACGACATGGCTGCTTTTTCCCCATGGGACAGAGACATAATGAAGGTAGTAAGGGATAAAGGATATTTTCTTCTCTCCTCTGCCCCTCTTTAAAAAAAAAAAAATACAAAAAAACTCACACCAAACAACTGGGACACGGAATGAAGGCAGAAGTTGTCATAACTAAATGATTTCTTTAGACTTGACTGAAGAGTTTGAACCATCTGTTATCATATCAGGGGAGTAACAGGCAGAAGAGTACTACTTTATTTTGTATATTCAGCTTAAAGAATTCAACTCTGAAGAGAAATATGTATTTTCTTATAATTCCTACTTGGCACAGGTAGGCTATTATTTTTTCATGTTCTACCAAATTTTTTAAGAAAGAATATAGCTACAAGAGAAGAACTCTTTTTGTAAATTGCTCAGCAGAAATCCTTTTTCATATAAATGAGTAGCAATAGCTTGCAGTCCTATACATGTAGGATAGTAAAATGATACAGCAAGGTTTGAAAAAGGGATAGGAAATAATGGTGACAAAGAGAATGCCTGAGCTCTTAGAGAAGACGTGGATATATTCACAGCTGAACAGAAAGTTTTGCAGTTGTATGGTTGCTTCTCTGACTACTGATTATATTGGCAGCTATGGAAATAGAAATGGAGCGAAGTGTTCAGAAGATAGAGCTTCATCTTATGTCTGTCCTACTATGCAAACAAATGTTTGTGTGAATGCCACAAGTAACAGTGGCTCCATGCATAAAAATTAACTCCTCATTGTAGAGGAGGGGAAACTGATATGGAAAAGTTTATGTTTGGTACAGTGGCCTGTATTATACCTACAGCAGACATTAGAGGTCTGATAAGTTATGGAGGTTTCCATGTTCTTCTGAGAATCGTGAGAGAAGCCTTGCAGCCACCAAGATGAGGGCAGGAGTTGCTCCAGGTGTGGAGCAGAAGCTCCCTGCTGCCCCGGAGAGGCCCGCGGTGAAGCAGGTCTCCATGCAGCCCAAGGGCACCATGCAGAGCAAATCTCCACATGCAGCCATGGAGGAGCAGTGCAGCAGTGGATGTGAGATGGAGGAAGCCTCAGACCATGGACACCCCAACAAGAGCAGGGTCTGGACTGGAGTTGCTGCCCACAGAGAGGAGCCCAAGCACCTTTGTTTTGGCATTTTTTTTTCAAGGTGACATTGTAACAGTTACTTAAATATGTTTTTTGATGTAGCCACAGGTTTTGATTAGAAACCAGCTTACCTTTCTGCAAGAGATGATGTTGTAGAAATAAGAACGTCTGTATTTTAGAGCAGTCTTTCATGTGTTCTCCTTGGATCAGAAGTGGTAACACTCTCAAAGGCATCATACGTAAGTTCTCAGTATTGCATCCTTAGAATCTGGATCTTCAGACTAACAGCTCAAAGACAAAACAGCTATTTTCATTTTTCCTAAATAGATCACATTGGATTTCAGTATTCAGTCAGGAGTCTGTGCCCATGTAACATTTGTCTTCACTGAAACTTTACAAAGTGGGCATTCACTGCAAAGTGGGCATTCACTGCAAGTGTGGCCTGTATGGCTCATGTTGTACTGATCTTGAAGAAAATAATCAAAACAATTTTTGGGGCACTTGGACTTTGGATGCAGCTTCTTCCCTGAATGAAGTACATTAAATTTCCTGCAGAGTAAGATATCTGGAGCAATAGTATAGAATCATAAAGGTTGGAGAAGACCTCCAAGATTATCTAGTCCAACCCTCTACCCACCACCAATATTTCCCCCCCAATTTCCGTCGTAACACATGTGCACATTTCTCGAACTCCTCCATGAAACATGCAACATGAAATTTTTACATTTTGTTTTCTGTGCACAACTGTCTTTTTTTTTCAGTTTGCTTTTTTGTTCCGTTTGGTTGCACCAGTAATACTTTACCTGTCTTGGTATAATTCAAGAAACTAGTCAAATATCTCTTTATATTACAGAATTTTTTGTATAGATTATTGATCCAAATTAGACACTCATGTAGTATAATGGAGACAGATTTGAATACATGCAGGGTCGTATACTCGACCTGGTAAGAGACTGCAATTTGGTGTTGTTCTCCCTTCCCATACACACAGCCTGCCTCCACTGAAAAGCTGAACAAAACAGCATTTTATTTTGTCTTTTTTAGAATGGCCTGCAACTGCAGAAATATGACTAAAAACACATCTCCATTTTGCCTGTAACTACTGATTCAGTATTCATGGATAAGCATATATTCAGACATTGAGATATAGTATTACATCATTTTTTACTGCTGAAACAGGCGAACGCTATTACCTATGTGCTCTAGAAGGCAGCTTGTTGATTTAGGTGGACAATTTAGATTGAAGGCTTTTGGGAGTCTACCTTCCCAGGTGAGCATATCTGCAGAAGAGAGAAAAGTTTGTTTTGCTCTTTCTGCATCTCTTGCCTTATAAGCATCTATTTTTAATTTTCTGCAGATGGAGTTGCACATTCTGGCGTATATTCTGCAGTGTCTCCTTGTTCCTGCAAAATGGCTAATTGAGAGAACTCGGGCAGGAATGATTTATGCCATGTGAGCATGGCTCAGACTTCAGAAAATACTGTCAGATTCTGCCAAACTGTCACGTTATCAAGTTGTTCACTTCTTGCCAGGCCTTATCAGTGATCATTAGCTTCATGGTCTGACTCAAATTCCTTTGTTTTGGGTGGAGTGTGAAATCAATCTCTACTTCTCATTTTCTCTCTGTTACCTGCTGTTGGTGGTAGCCTGACTCAGTAAAGTCTGATGATTGATAGCAGCAGAGAATTGGTTCTCAGCAGCTGAATATACAGCTCCATGCTGCAGGAGATGTTGCGTTCCACGGTAAACATTGATAGTCTCAAAATTCAGAAAGCACAGGGGAAACTGGGAAAACAGTGCCTCCAGGAGCCTACTGTGGTTAAGTCATGTTGCATCTGTTTGAGCTATTTTCCAAGGGAAGTGATTCCAGAAAAACAAATTTCTTCTTAAAATTCTATCATCCCTTCATCAGGTTGGTCTTTGTTTTTTATGGGGAGATGTAAGCTTGCAGGTTTACCTACATGCCACAAAAGATGTTTGTGTAATCTTCTGTGCTAAATGTCAGAGCTCTCTCTGTCCAGATGTATATCCAGGTGCTTTTCCTGTTATCTCCTCCTGCCTGTTCCCCCTCTTGATGCAAGGCTCGTCTCTCTGTGTCCTCTAACTGGTACAACTTATCACACTAAGGAGAAAAAGGCAGTGAGTTAAAAGAGCAAGTAAAGACAAATGTGTAATACAGCGTTGTATGAGCAGACCCATGGTGTGATGCTTGCCCAGAGATGTGCAAATGAGGGTAAGGAGAGCACCAGGTTATTGTGCATACATCTAAACCACAACCAAACGTAGCATTGTGTGCATGCAAAAGCAAGGCTTTGCAAGACTGAGAACTGAAATTTATGTGAAATAGTGGTGAGTTTGAGAGTGTCTGTGATGAAGTAGAATGCAGAATGCTTGCAGTTCACTGGTCAAAATTCTACATAAAAACTGTGTAGCATTTTAGAATGAAGTACTGAGGGGGAAATTTCACACTAGATAACAACTGGTATTCTCACTGAGCTAAGAAAAGTGTATGTGTTCTGTCAGCTATCATTGGCCATGTGTGAGTGCCTGGCAGGTGAGTGTGTACCACCAGTGGTTGCTGGGGCTTACACAAGCAGCTTCTGCAGTGGGTGAGTGTGAAGCACCTGCTGTGCAAAGTGACATGCATTTGTGAGGCTTTCCTAGCAATAATAAACAATGCAACCAGTATTACCGTGATTTATGGAATAAGCTGGAAACCCTCATGTGAATTACAGCCTTGATGGCTCTAGAGCGAATGTAATTATTCTTCTACACATAAATATGCAATGCAGTCCTAATCATTTATGCAACTTCTGAAGCCTTGGGAATAAAGAAGCATTTTGCTACTGAGTAACCATATACATAAGTCTTGAGTCTCAGCTGAAATAGCGAAAGAAATGTCATGCCAGCAGTCTCCAGAAACAAAGCTAGATGGATTTCTGCTTTGGGTGCTCTTCTGCGTGCTCTCAAAGAGAAAGCAGATGGATAACATGGTGAGTGAAGAGGCAGCAGTAAGCGCCTATACTTTAAACAATAGATTTTAACATTCCCCCCTCCTTTTACTGACAGCTATTGTGTGCGTCTCACTTCATTACAAATAAGATATTTCTATGTGATTTTTTTTTTTCTTTCTTTTATAAAATTGTCATTGTGAATTCCTTATGGAAACTTTGGAACAAAATTTTGTAAAGGAAAATCTTTGTTGATCTGTAGGCTATATTCATTATATGTGGCTGTCAATTGCACTGAACTTTAATTTCAAAGCCTCACATTTACTGGAAAACCTTGGGAAAACAAAACAATACAAAACAACAGAGGTATTTGGTTGTAATAGACTACTAGCCATTAGATTACTGGAACTTACTTAAGGCCTGCTTCTCACTTTTCTTTCTTCAGCTGCAAAAATAATCTGACACCCTCTGAATGAATTAATCGGCTTTCAAGCAGTAACATGGCAAGCCACCATGCTTCTTTACATCCATTTCGTTAGCTTCCTTCAAAATTCTCCAGAATATCCTTTGCTCAAATACAGGACTGCAGAGACATTTATATCTTTATCTGTCATTGTAGACAGCTACACCTGTATCACCTGGTGTTAGCACAAAAACTGTGGCACTTTTTCTGCTTAAAAGGCTAGTTTCCTGCTGTTGTTGTTTGTGATTTGCTGAATCTCTTCCAAAGATCAGCATGAGAAAATTTCTCAGGTTATCAAGGCTTTGAAGGAAGACTGTTTTCTCATACCAGTCTGTGTAAACCAACTGAATCATTTAAAATAAAACAGAGGGGGAAGCACAAGTGGTTCCTATCAGAGTTTCATCAGACCTGAGGAAATGGTGAAGACTACTAGGATCAGAAGCAGCTTATTCCCCTCACCCCAGCTGGACCTCTTGTAATTTAGTTTAATGTTTGATAGCATAGAAGATATCTGATTTGTCCTGAAGAATGTCGAGCATAGAACTAAGATGTTTAATCACCACAGTTGTCATGGGAGTGGGGTGCATGTTTCTATGAGCAGCTCAGCTCAGGAATTGTTCTTTCCTTCTAAAACATCAGTGAATGTAAGATGTTAACGCTTCTATCTCCTCAGGTAAGTCTCTAAGGTTAGTAGCCAGTATGATCCATCTTACTCAACAAAGACCTCAAGACAAGCTCCTTTGTTTTTCTTTTAAGAGAAAATATATTTGTCCTTAATCATATCCATAAGTTTAATGATAGATTTTCTTTGGATTGCTTGATGTTGTAAAAGGCTGCATAGGTAGGTGGTGAGGTCACGCTCTCTGGAGGTGTCTAAGAAATGTGTAAATATGGCACTTAGGGACATAGTTTAGTGGCCATGGTGTTGATTGGTTAGCTGCTGGATTAGATGATCTTAGGGGTCTTTTACAATAATGATTCTATGTGAAAGATATATCGCCATCTGCTTCATAATCCTAGCAATATTCTCCCCCACCCCCCTTTTCTTTCCCATTAAACAAGTTTATTTTTATCAAAAGTGCTTTCCATCTGCTGCTAACTTCCTCTGAGTTTGCCACATCCCATCTTTTCTATCTCATTCTGGCTCTAAGCTCTCAGCTTCCCATGCTCAGTCACCCAGTTTATTGACTGTCTGAATTGCTGCTTCACTCCTGTGTGGTGATGCGGAGCATGCTGCAATGCTCCTGCTCCCCTGTGTTCATCATCCACTGCAGTATTCTGACCTACAGTCTCTCTTCTCTTATCTGAAGGTGTCGTGCAGTCTCTTTACTTTGTCTTTAAGTGGTGCTCAGCTCTTGGTCAGAGCTCAGCAGGCTTATTTGCCAGGCTAGCATATTAATATCTTACAATCTATTTGTCTCTGCCACTAGCAAAGCCTGATGTGGAGTTGGTTCTGCTTAAATACAAATCCTCTATGCCATTTGCCCTTGCTGGCAGGAGGGATGAAATTTGGGACTGCACTTTCTGTAGTTTTGATTGTTGGGAAGCAGCTGCAAGTGCCCTCAAAATTTGGAAAGCAGTCAGATGCACAGAACAATCAGAGCCAGGACATTGTGCAGAGCAGGGTAAAGTCCTGATTCAAAGTCTCTCAAGTCAGTGGCACTGCGCCTATTAAATGCTTGTGATGCAGAATTACAGGCCAACAACCAATAAATGCCAGCCTGGCCAAAATGCCATGCTTTTCCCCTCTGTTCCAGCTTATAAATGTAGTGGTATTTTTTAGAGTACCAATCATCTGTAATCAAAAAAAATAGAAGCAACTGAGTACCAAAATGCAGTGTTGGAAATATATTATTAGAGAGCTGGGCCAAATGAGATATCCCTCAAAAGGGGTAATGAGTGATTATTTTAGCTTATGCTGCAAGAATATGTGACAGAAAGATCTTTCATATCTTCAAGTATAAAAAGGCTTAGCTTTGTGGTAGCTGAATTCTGTGTATGTTTTATGGCAGTTTTCCTTTAGGAAATAGCTAGGAGACGACATTGCACCAGTAAAGAAAAATGGATTTTGAAAAATGCTTATGCCTGTGATAACCTGACATTGTGTAACTTCATGTAGCCTTGTCAGTCTGTAGAGTCATCTGTAGGAATTGCTTCCTTTCAGAGAGGAATGCTGTAGTCAGTAGTTCAGCTGCTGAAGGGCCTGAAGTAGGAATTTTATCTTTTGCACTGAGAAGAAAAAAAGTTTTGTATGAGCTTTTAAACTCCTCCCTCCACACCTTGTTGACCCCAAACTTTATCCAGTGAAAGTGGTGTGACAGTAAAATTGTGGGGGAGCTTATGAAATCTGCACATTTAATGCTTCAATTTAAACTTTGGATAATAAAGGACCCTCTTTTAATTAAAGCCATCAATTTACCATCTGCTCAAATTGCATTTTTTTCCCCATTTTGCATCACTCGAAAAGCTGCATTACTGTAGATAATTTGTGAAGTATTGGTTTCTATGTGACCACCTACAATTCACAGCTAGATCAGTGTGTGCAGTGGTTCCAAATAGGTTTTTGGACACTGTTCTTCCTCCATTGGCCCCATCTGCCCTCCCTCTCTGCCTGAGTACCTGTTGTTCCTGAGCCAGGATAGGGCTGGGTCTGGCTCAAAGTAACTGCTGGGAAAATTAATGGGACCACCAATTTAGCCGAGCAGCTCTCTATGTGTAAAGCGTATCAAATCCAGTGCCATTTTCAGGCCAAAAGTCTTGTTTGTTTATCTTTCCATTGAGAAAAAAGCAGTATGGTACTGTAAATAAGAAAGCAAGGACTGACTCAAACATCCTGTTGTGCAGCCTTGCATTATGAGGAAGGAATCAAGTTCTCATTGTCATTTTCTCCCCAGTTCTTTGCTTTCTTCTCTCTCCTTTTCCTCCTTTTTCAAGATAATTTACGTTCTTATCTGAATAATTTTTGTCTCTGCAGCAAAAAGGTCAAAATAAGATTGTCCCTTACACATGGCCCTCTTCTCATCTCTACTTTTCTTAGTAATTCTTGAGGTACTTGGACAATTTTTGCCAACGTTTAGGAGGGTTACTGAAATCAGTGTAACTGATTTAGCTGGTAGCAAGCCAAGTAAAATGTTAACAATTACTGGTTTGTGTGCAGTGCCAGAGCTGGGCCAAGTCTTTGAGAGGTGGTTCCGTGAGTTTTCTCAGCATTCCACCATCACTATTATGGTAATATTATGGTCCCTCTTGCTCACAAGTTTTAAGATGGCACTGTAGTCGTTAGCTAAGATAAATTTGTGTAGCTGTTAAACTCCACTTTAGCACAACTCAAGTGAGTATGTCATTAGCTTTAGATCGGTGACACAAATGTTCTTCAGCGAGGTCATAAGTTCCTCAGACACAAAGTTTTATCAGTAGGGCAGAGCTGAAAGAGATGATCCCAGGTTACTCCTGAGCCAAAATCATTGTCTGTCACAGTATATTAATAGGACATCTTCAGAGTTGCACTACCAAATGTTGTTGGGAAGTCCTGAGGACAAAGGAGGCTCCTTAACATAAGGCAATAAGTTTTCTGTATGTGCCACTGTTGAAGGCCAGCTGAATCTGTGGGAGAGAGGGGAGTGTAATTTTCATTTCTGATTTGTCAGCTCTGACTGTAGTTTCTGTAAATCTCACTCTGTTGCCTGTCTGTGTGTTGTAAAAGCAATCACACTTAAAAATGCCATTTGTATATAAGGATGAAGGATTGCAAGGTAGGGTATATTTCACTTTTGACATTGGCTTAAATTTTTAGAAAATTACACGCTGTAGTGTCCAGGAAAGTTTGGAAGTTGCTGCATAATAAAGCTACTCAGGACTGATTTCAATCCTCAGCACGCCTGAGCATTGAGTCCATTAATACTTGTTACTGTGTCAATAGACAAAACAAACTGTGGGCACTACCAATTAACTTCAGCAGCAAGCATATCTTCCCAAGCAAGATCAAGTGAACATACATCTTTTATTAGGAGGTGGGAGACCACAGCCATTGTTTCAGACGTCTCGTGACCTTTGTGCATGCCTGCTATCTCATTATCTTTGTCAGGGATTAAATGCAATCTTTGGAGCTGATCAGTGCATTGTGTCTCTCTGAGGAGACTTTATTTAATTTACTGTATTCTGTTATCTCATCTTTTTAACTGGAGACATCTCAATCTATTCTAATGGTAGTTATATTGTTTGTGTGTATAAATGCAGACATACTTATAGATAAAAGTGGCTTTAGTCTTTCCTTTATAAAGGTGTTAGAAAACCACTCTAAAATAAAAATTGCTAATGTCTTAAAGGAAGATAGAGGAAGTCTTCAAAGGGCACCATGCATTAGTCTTAAATGAAGCTTGTGCTCTAATTGGAGAAAAGGCTGAGTTTGAAATAGGTTTCCTGTGAATTTCTCGTGAAATGAAAACTGTTGTTACTTAAATTTGATCTTGTCTGTTTCTCAGCACAGAGCTGAGCACTGCTTCAGGAGTCTCTAAGTGGCTGGGTTGGGTGGTTCAGGAAACCACTGAGATCAGTCATACCTCGAACAAAAGCTTATCTGACACTCCAATAGCAAAGGTTCTACTGCTTGTATCAATACGCTGTGTGCCAGAACCAGAAGAAATGACTGAATACAATGACACAGCAAATTGGGGGCAAACACTGTGCCCTTCATTGTCCTCTTAAATAGCCCTTTGAAGAGGATGTAGGTCCTTACGTAAAGTCTAGTCCAAGTGTACAGAGCCACTGCCATGCTGGTGTGCCTGTGGGGTGATTGCTCTCACCTGGATACTTAAATGGTGCTTTCTGCTTAGTTTTAATTCACTACTGAGGTGGCACAGCCTTTGTTAAGCAGGAATTTGTATACTGAACTTACAATATAATTCAAGCCAGATGAGTAATTAATGAGTATTGCACTTAGTTGCACATACAGAGGAATGTCTGGGTCATGCAGATACCACTCATCTTAATTTGCAGAAGAATTCTCAATGAAATAAGGAGAGTTATGGGGAAGAGCATGGCAAGATTCCACAGATGGAGTATTTTTTTAATTGACTGAAGCAAGTAGTTGAGTAGTGTGGGGGGAATATAAAATACCAAATTTTTGTGGTATTGGTGTAGTGCTCTGGATGGAATGGTAGCAGAAAAGGTATGGGTGAATAATATCTAACTGTACCCCTTCCCCAAGCAGCTTGGGTTCTTTCTTTCATTTTTCATTCACTCAGGTTTCCTACCCAGCTGCTAGAAAGCCTGCAGTTTGCAGCATGACAGACTGGGAAGCAAATGTGATGTGTGGCAAGAGATTGTTTCTTAGCAGGTTGTTGGTGGTTTTTTTTTGACAACATGTTTAAAAAATTGTTCTGTCCAACTTTCTATTTTCCAGCTTTGATTTTCCTAGTTTGAACGTTTTATGTTGAGTGCTATCTCACGTGACATTTTTAATCTTCCTTTATAATGATGAGACCTTAGAGGAAAGCACAATTACATTAGAAATACTGCAGAAGGAGGATTTTTGCTGTCCTGTGCAGATGCTGACAAACAAAAACACAGATACAGTAGTTTTTCATTAGCAGCACATTATAAACATATGTAATCCATAGGACAGAATTGCAATACATTATGATTGAAATAAGAAATGCTTTTGAAGCAATGTGCAAAGGAAATATACTTTGCAATTCTGAGATAATACTTCATTAGACAGGAAATGACTAGCATCCCTTCAGACATGATTTGAGAAACAATACCCTCGCACTAAGGAGATTTGCCAAAATGCTTAATTTGAGTGCTTTCTGAAGATGGTTCTCTATGACTGTGTCTAAACAAATATTTTTGTTCTGAGTGGCAGAAAACCCCCTTATTCATCTTCATATGGAGTCTGAAGCAGAGCTGCAGATTCTTCCTTGATTTCTATATCTCAGTGTTCATTGGGGTTGCTCTCATTCAGGAAACTTCCCGTCTCCAGTTCACAGTGTGAGAGGGCAAGATTGAGACTATTGGTAAGCAGCTGGGTGCCAATTGTGTCCCTAGTTGGACTATGAATTAAATAACTTACATCACAAATCCTCTGAGTAGAATAAACTTGCTCAGCTGAACAGGATCAGTTATGGTAGGATATATAGTTTATCAGCAGCAAATGAATTGAGAAGCTACTTTCTTGCAATTTTGATAGCTTTGTTCTGTGTCATGACAGTTCACTGGGAAGTAATGATTATTTTAGCTAGTAAATGAAATATGGAATATTTAGCTCTCCAGAAAAATGTTGTACCTGAGCAGGATCAAAACTCTCTTCTGTAGATCCCCTTAACTTGTTGTCGTAGCTACAGCTAATGGCTGTGATGTCATAGAATCCTAGAATCCTTTGGCTTGGAAGGGACATTTAAAGGTCCAGCTCCTCTGCAATGAACAGGGGCACCTACAGCTCCATCAGGAGCTTGGAGCCCCCATCCACCCTGACCTTGAATATCTCCAGGGACGGGGCATCCACTGCCTCTCTCTGAGCAGCCTGTGTCAGTGCTTCACCACACTTAGAGTAAAACACTTTTTCCTTACATCCAACCCAAATCTCCTTTCAGTTTGAAACCTTTTCCTGTTGTCCTATTACAACAGACCCTGCTAAAGAGTTGATTCTTAGATCTTCCCCGAGACTTCTCCATACTGAACAGCCCCAGCTCTCTCAGCCTATCCTAATGCTATCAGAAGTTGTTATATGAGTCAGAAGGTTATGCCATATATCCAGCAAACTGGTTTCAGCTTTGAGTAAAAGACAGCCTAGGCTAGACAAATGATTTCCAGTTCAGGAATAAAAGCAGTGCTTTTGAAAATTAAATACCAAGAGTTGTTTGCAACTGCTGGTGCCATCTCAGAGCACAATCACTACCTGAAGAGTCTGGTTAGAAGGAAGAGAGCTGAAATGTATAATACCAGTATATTTTCACTGAATGTCACTGGCTTGCCAAGAAGCTCTCGCTGCTGCTGCTGAAACAAACATCAGGGTCTGTGTATATTGCAAGCAGCAGGAGCTGTATTCATTGTTTCCTTTAGCATCTTTCATTAGATATTGTTTCTGGCTACCCAGACTTTAAGCAAGCACCTCAGTACTGCTTTGTTGCTGCAGTGTTTGAAGGCTAAAAGAGGCAGCAGTATTACTTCTGAGTTTGTTATCCTTATTTACTTCTTTTTTTATCTTTATTTTTTTAAGTTGCAGGTTATTATCCTTTTCTTCTTAAATGTTCTTTGAAGCAATTTCTTTACAAAGTCACAGCGCTTCTGTGTGAGAGTCTGGCTGACACCAGCTGGAAAACAAGATGGATCTTGCCTAGATCCTGGAAACTGCATCATCAACAGCATTTACTACCTTTATGGTTGTTCACGTTGTCCTAGTTTACTACTGATTAGGGTGAGGAGCTGCATTCCATGACATAAAGTGAAGTGCTGCTCATAGCTTGATGGCTTGTAGCGTGCAGTCTGCAGAGGAGAGCTAATTCTTCAATGTTCAAATGACTTCTGAGGCAACAAGGCCACTAGAAGACTAATTATCCTGTCTCTGTCATTTGATAGCTCTAAAAGTTTTTCTTCCTCCTTCACCTGGTCTGCTACTTCTAACAAATGTGTTTCAGCTCTCCCCTTCAGGATCTGCCTGTGGGTCATGCCCTGCAAGTCCCCTACACATTGCTCTGCAGTTATCTGCTGCTCTGTAAGAGTGGAATGGTAACTTCCAGTTTTCTTGTTAAGGAAAAGACAAAGTTTACCATCACTTTCCAAACACAGAAGCGTTGTCTTGGCAGCAATTGGGAATACAGCTTTCTTTTTGCAGCATGTGATCATCCAAAGAAAACAACGCAGAAATCAGACACACAAAAGTGAGTATACTGACACTAAAATAGCCTGAACCAAGTGCTGTTGCTCCTAATGAAACTGGGTGCTTTATTCACAGCCTGAGGATTTACTCAAGTCTGCAGTTTGACAGCTGTTCACAGCAAATGGTTGCACAGTCTGACTGCTGTGGGAAATAGGGAATTTCACAGTTCTTGGAGTGCTCCTGCCATTTTCTTGAGCTCTGTCTAGTGTCCAAATTGTCCCAGATACACGGCTCAGCACTGCAGTGTTTCTCTCTGACTCGAGGCTTTATGGGGGTTGCTGCTAATTTCATAAATGTATGTAAAATTTGTGAAGCTGTCCAACATACATCTTGCCCTTTCCGATTGGTTGCTGGTGTTCTCCATCTGCCAGCTCTTCAGCATCTGTATGTATATATTTATATACACACAGCAATGCTTAATAAAGCTTGAGGTTTTCCATAAGAATGAAAATTTGGCTGTTCCACACATTTATTTAGAAGTTAATTCTACTCACTGAAGTGGCTAGGGGGTGCACATACTCTCGTCTCCAAAAGTGGCTTAGGTCTGTGCTGTGTCAGTGAGATGGAGTATATGACTATAGCTTACATGTACTGTTGTCTGAATTATATTACCCTTGAAGCTCTTGTTTGTGTATTCTGCTTTGACAAGTTTTGCTAAAACACCGTTTTTTAAAAATTGAAGCCCCCAAATAGCTGCTGTGATGGAAAGCTGAGAAACTGCCAACTTCAAATTAAGCATTCCTGAGTTCCCATGCTTGAGCTGTGATGCTCGATAGTTTCTATTAAAGCAGCCAAGATATATTGCTAAATTGAAGGGAAAGCACAAATATTGGGATTTCAGTGGCAAAGTGCAGCAGTGAGAATGCATAAAGTGCACCAACTTTATTACCTGAGCAGACCTGTAATTGACACATGGTGCAGCTGGGAAGGGGTGGGATACTCAGTGCATCTCTGCTCAGATCTGTGAGGAAAGCAGTGCACAGACACCTCTATGAAAGGAAAACCCAGCACAGTTTCACCATGAACATTTCAGGCTGCCCTGTGCAGAATGCAAACATCCCTTCAACTCAGTTTTTCCAGTTATAGTAGCTTGGTACTTAATGTCACTTAAGCCTTTTCTTATTCCTTCGTCTTCTTGACTGTGTTCTTCCTACAGCAAAACCTGACTGCACGGGCATGCATTTAGATATACAAGAAGCCTTCCTTTTGGCACATCCAAAAGTACTCATCCAAAGGAGGCTCTGAACACCAAGAAATCAACATTTTGCAATAACTAGGCATGATTGTAATGTATTCCCCATCAATCTACAGGGAGTGCTTTGTGAGTAGACAGCCTGGGTGGTCTTACCAATCATCCTCTCAGAACTGAGCAAATTGCAGCTAAGGTTGTAAAAATACCTCTTGAGAAGTCTTATGGGCTGATCAGTGGAGGTCTAAAGGCTGTGTTTACTGCAAGAGTTGAATCTCTGCTTCCCCACTGCTTGGGCTAAATCTAAAACTTTGCTAGCTTTTCTTTTCCAGAGCGGTTCTCTATGGAGGTAAAATCTGGTCTGCTAATGGAGATTTTGTGCACTTACAGAGGCAACTAGAAAGGCAGTAACTGTTCCCTATAGAGACTGCATGGGGATGCATACACACACTTATATGATATTTATATAAAATTATCTTAATACTACCATAGTGAGGAAAGATGGGAGTCTGTAAACAAAACACAAAGGCATGTGTGCTCTGTGGTTTTGTTCAGTAGTAGTACTGAAAATATTATATATACTGTTTTTCTTCAAACAGAAAATACTCTAATTGCTCTAAATGCAAGGAAGAAATCGCACGACCTCTTTTCTGTTTGGAAAGCTGACTGGGACTGTTAGTCTTCAGCATATTGCACAGGAAATTGAGATTTAATTCTGCATAGAATTTCCCTCAGACTCTCGAGAAGAGAACTCGAAGCTGTGCTTCAGTAAAGGGTTAACAGAGGGGCAGAAAGAAGTATCTTGCTATGATTTTCTCACCTGCTGGGGTACTGAGGGCAATTTCAGGCAGAAACAGTTCACCTGGTTTTCTCAATGTGCATATGTAATAGGACTCTACAAGTTCTGTTGCTTCTTTAGCTGGATCCAGAAATGGAAATGCCAAAAGTCAGCACTTGTAGCCCTCATTTGGATTTCCAGGGCACCATATCGCCTTGGATTCCATGTGAGTGTGTTCAGAACTGTGAGGAAAGCAGTGCACAGACACCTCTATGAAGGGAAAACCCAGACCACTTTGACCATGCATCTTTCAGGCTGCCCTGGGCAGAATGCAAGCAGGCACATGGGATGAGCAGGGACAGGATTTCCTTCCCACTCAGTATAATAGGGGAAGGAATCCACGCTTTGCAACAGGCTCAAGTAATAATAGATAAAAAATACTGAATTTCCCAATACTAGAAAACAAAATACGAAATTGGAAATGTACGTATTGGTAGGATGAATAAGCAAGAAAGATGGGACCCATTTAGCTGTGTATAAAAGCTGGAGGGAGAAATTGCTGGTAAAGAGGGGTGCAGGAGAGCAATGTTTGGAAAACAGCATTTTTGGTAATGAGCTACCTAATAGAAAAAATAATTTACAGGCATGTTGTCTCATTACCCACTGAGCTGTATACAGAGCACTTCTGGAAGAGATACTCTGCCCTTTGGGTGAGGTGTTGTGAATAGTTTTACAATGCTGGGCACCAGATGCTTTGTGAAATGTATGTGCCTCTTGGAGTTGACAGCTTTGCAAAACTGCATTTTCCTTTGCTGTTGAATGGTGAGCATTAATCAGCTTTAATGATCACTAGTGGATATACTAACAGCTTACAAAAGTTGCACTCTTCATTCTGCTGTAAATGGAGCCTCAAATAGCTGTAGTTGCCTACGGCTGTGTGCTAGAAAGCCTGTTTTCTTCTGTGGATCACTCTCTCACCCTTTAATCAGAACTTGTTCTGAAAATGGCAATGCCATGTCTCTAAGGGTGATCTCATTTTTGGGGGCAGTAGCCAAGGGGGATATTGTCATCTGTTGCAGTCTGTTCAGAGAATCAGACTGAGAAAAACACATTTTGAACTTCAAGAAAAAACATTATTCTGGTTGTTACGCAGTTCAGCTGGGAACTTCTCTGCACAGAAAAGTTCTGGGTTTCATTCACGCAGTTCCCCTTGCAGGGATGCATCAGGGCCTATCTCCATGATGGCCCTGAGACATTTGCCTCCAAGGGAGTGCCTCATGTCACATTAAGCAGTTACTTGAGAGACAAGTGTCTCAGCTCCTGTTAGAGCGAACAGATATGCACAGCGATTAGTTCATTCCAAAAGAGACATGGAAGGGAGGATTTGGCTGTGTAAGGCACAGCTGTTTGGGATGCTGCACAGAAACTGCAGTGTCTGCACCTAGCTATCAAGTATGAGTGGTTGTAGGGAGGATCTGAGCCCTTAAACACCAACTGGGAGCC